CATGTTGTGACCAGGTGTGGGTCTTAATTTCTGTGCCTGCCATGAGTGGTATCGGTTAGCTCTGGAGCTGTAAAAACCCGTTGTTGTCTTTTTTTTTTTTTTTTTTTTTTTCCCCTGCACACATAGCTCTTCTCCTGTTTCAGCTCCTGCTAAAAGGAAGAAAAACAAAAAAAAAGCCAAATATATAAGTCCTGTAAAGTACTGAGTGCGTGTTGATGTGGCCTTCTGGTTACAAAGAATGAGCGTGGATGGAAGAAACGCGAACATATCTTCCCTGTCTTGCTGATGAGCCAGTTGCACGCACCCCCCTGCCCGACTTTCAGGCCCAGCAACATATAATTACTGCCAAATGACTTTCAGCTCCAGATTGTGCAGCTGGGATCAGTGATTACAATTGGAAGCAAATAAAGGATTTGTTCCTCAGTGTTTGCACTAGGGAGAATCATTACCTTTAAGATCATTTTAGTTGAGTTAAAGATAGTTTCGTGCAGCTTTTACATCTTTTTAAACCAACGATGATGAAAGGTCGGGGAATGACCTCTCTCCCCTGAGGATGACAGTCATTCCTCCCAGCAATAAAAAAAGGTATATGCCAGCAACGTGCAGCGCTCTGCTGGGGAAGAGTTGCTCAAGGCCCCAACCTCGAGAAAGAGCTACGGGCAAGGCACGAGTCCAATCCTTAGCCCTTCAACTCTGGGTGCTGCTGGACAGGGTTGGGCTGATAGGTACCGAGAGAATGACATCTGTTTATTCAGAAATGAGTTGGAAAACACCAGCCAGCTCTCTGCTGGATACTGTAGTCATCAGATGGTGGTAGATGAGCTCCTGTTGTGCTGGGCTCAATTTGAACCAGAAAGCCAGAGGTGATGGTGTTTTTTCCCCTTTGGAAAACAGAAGATGCTGCCCTTCGACTCCCTGTATCCTAGCTGCAGCTGAAAAAAAAACCTGTTAGTACCTCTGAAATAAAGCGGGAGGAAAGGTAAACTTCCCATTCATGCACTTTTTTGCTTTAGGCAGAGACGGGTTTTCTAGCAGAAGCGGGGCTTTCTCGCAGATCTGGGTATGTGAACATATTGCTGCCCTGTGACGGGGCTGCAGATGCAAGAAGCCACGCGCTTGACGTGCGGTGATCTCTGCTCCTGCTCCCTCTGTTCTAACGCGAGGTGTTGAGAGATATTTCTGAACGTACTTGCAGGCTTGGTGTAAAAGCCAAGCTGCTTTCGGAAAGGCCGTGGTATCTCTGTTCAACGTATTGAAACATCCTTTTCACCTCTGCTAAGGCGAGGCATCCAACGGAGATTGTGATCGCTTGCAGCCCCGAAAGATCCTGCGTGGAGATTCATTTAACTGCAGGCATCTTGGTCAAATTCTGACTCAAAGCGCTTGTGTCCAGCCGAAAAGGCAATTCCTATCTTAAGTGATTGTGTAATATTGCGGTGCCAAATTAAACAGCTGCTGCATTTCCCAGTGTATAATCTGCTTAGCAGCTGAGGCTGGTGAGATTCTTTGAGTCTAGAGGTGCAGGATGAATGTCGGAAAGCGATGGGATGGCTTTATTAGTATCCCAAGTTTTCTATTACAGTGGCAAGTGCCTAGGCTCTTTTCTGTGTTAATCTTCATGCAGGTGTTCTAGAAAATAGCTCGAAGGGAGATTAATATTCTTGACTGTGCCCAGATTACTGTGAAGCCTTTTTATCTTCATGTCCAGCAAGCATTTTCTAAGCATTTTCGCTAATACACGGGTGCGGAGTTCGACTTGGTGGGCCACAGGCACAGAGTTTCCGTATCACCTTAGGTTTTAGGTTCCTTGAACTCAGTTATCAGCACTTTGGCTGATCAAAGCTTCGCTTAACGCTTCTGATATCGTGTAGGTCTGGATGCATGAATGACTCCCCCCCCCTAGAAAATAAAAGATTAAAAAAAAGAAAAAAGCTTTGTTTTCAGCCTGAGCAGTCTTTGTTGTGTAAATGGGTAAATTAATTCAATTCTTCCCTCTCTTCCTCCCCCTTTTCCCCTATCTTCCCAGGTCGAATCAAGTACTCGGAGCGAGTGTATGATGCGTGTATGGATACATTTGACTGTCTTCCTCTTGCTGCCCTCTTAAACCAGCAATTCCTGTGCGTTCATGGAGGACTGTCTCCAGAAATCACGTGTCTAGATGACATTAGGAAAGTAAGTAGTCTCCCTGGTCCTTTCACATAGCTTACAATTCATCGTGTGGTTAACGGCTTGCTTGATTCCTGCATGGATTTCCAGGTTGAGGCTCCAGTCTGCGTGCCCACACCGTAGGTGTGTGTATGGCTTTCACCAGCGTTGTCCTGATTTTGTGTACGTTTTTCAGTTAGACAGGTTTAAGGAGCCTCCGGCCTTCGGTCCAATGTGTGACCTGCTCTGGTCCGATCCATCAGAGGATTACGGCAATGAGAAAACGCTGGAGCATTTTGCCCACAACACTGTTCGAGGCTGCTCCTATTTCTACAGGTAAGTGGTGTTTTAGGGGGCTCTGAGGGACCAGAGCTTTTTGTCTGCCCTTACACTAAGGTGTATGGGGAGCTAAATCGCTATTCAGATCACTCTGTGGGACTTCACAGCGTACCTGGCTCTGAAATAGTCTTCAGTTGGCTCTAATGCACAAAATCTTGTTTGTTTTTTCTTCTCCTGTAACATTGAGCTCTCTTTGGCTATGTTGCTCTCTGAAATTGTGGTATCGGACAGCAGAGATGCTTCTTTTAGCTGGCAGGGTGCCTCTTGAATGGTTTTCAGGCATTGGGCAGTACCAGGAGCTCTAGGAAATAATCTTTTCCTGTCTAAAAAAGAAGCATTTGCGCTGACAGACCACTTGTAGCCCAGCTGATAGGGAGGATTTGGCACCAGGTATCTGTTTAACAGAATGCTTTGCAATTAATTTTTGAATCATGTCATACACACTGGCCTTGTTTGGGGATGCTGGACACAAACCGAATGGATGCTGCAAGCGGCTGGCTCCTGAAACCAAGACCATGGGTGCTACCTGTTCTCCTGTGCTACATGCTGATGAATACTTGCTTTTTGTTTTCCAGTTATCCTGCAGTTTGTGAATTTTTGCAGAACAATAGTTTGTTATCTGTAATCCGAGCTCACGAAGCCCAGGACGCTGGGTAAGTGTTGCAGCCTGGTAGCTGAGCAGGCTCCGTCTGCGTCCGTGCTATCCTTAGCAAGACCAGTGTGTTTTAACAATTGACCTGTTTTTCAGGTACCGAATGTACAGGAAGAGCCAGACAACAGGCTTTCCGTCGTTAATCACAATCTTCTCTGCACCAAATTACCTAGATGTCTATAACAACAAGGGTAAGGCTGGCAAGGCCAGGGCTCTGCTGCTCTTCGGATGTCAGTACCGTCCTCACGCGCCTAGGAAATCCCTCTCCATCTTCCTTTGTCTTGCCCCCTCTGCCCTCTCCTCTAGCTGCATTCTTCTGCCTGAAATGAAAAAGAGCTTTGCATGTTAAACTGACGGCAGCTGGGGAGCTGGAAGTGGCTGGGTTCTCTTGACTCGAAGACTTAATGTATTACTGTGACAATTAGCTGTCAAGTTATAAAGCCTAGAATAATGCTTTCATTGCCAGGCACATGACAACTAAGCGCTGCTGATGGATGCTGCCATAAAGGAGAAGCTGCTAGCATAGGCAAGCTTTTAACTTCACTGTGCCCCTAAAACCATCTGAATACGATGGGGAACTTTCCTCAACTGTGGGGTTTTTTGCCGCTCGCTCTGGACCTTGACCCTGTGTCTGTCGCTTCCGATTTGCATAAATTTTAACAGCTTTGTTCAATTGAGCTTCGCTATTACAGTGAGCGTTAGTGAAACAACGCGACGGGTAAACTGAAAAATATTGCTTAAGCCTTCTTGTTTTGGAGAGCTGCTAGTTTGATTCTGCATGAGTGCAACCTCCTGTTGATAATGAAGTTTCGTTAGCGCAGGTGGAGCTCCCAGAAGTTGACGGCGCCTGTGGACATGGGTTCTCTTTCCTTTTTTCTCTCCTAGCTGCTGTACTGAAATATGAAAACAATGTCATGAACATCAGGCAGTTCAACTGTTCCCCTCATCCGTACTGGCTTCCAAACTTCATGGATGTCTTCACATGGTCTTTGCCTTTTGTAGGGGAAAAGGGTAAGAGATATTTGGATTTCTGTTACGAGTTGCCTGGTGACTGGTCGCAGTACCCTGAGTGTTAGAAACCTGTCCCACGGGCGTTACAACTCATTAATATGAGATGGAAAGTAGCTCAGTTCCAGGAGATCTGCATATTACTGGGTAAAGTTCACGCAAAAATAATTGTCGATACCCATTTTAGAAAGTTTTTACCAATAGAACGATCCCTTCTCTCTATTTCTGCAGTGCTGATAGAGCTGATCTTGGGTGCTCTAGCCCCACCTCACAATTTGGAGACATTTTTCTTGCTCTGAGGTCTGCAACTGAGAAGTTAAAAATCTCCTGTTGGCTTGTGGCCCACCAGAAGGGAAGCATTCACTTCAATTTAAAGGCTTATTTCATTCTGAAGGAGGCGAGGCAGCTTAAAATATGACCAAGGCTTTGCCTCAATTTCTCAGCAAAAGGGTTTTCACATCTCCTGCTGAGTTTAAATTCCACTCCAGTGTTGTATGTTTGGTCCGTGACTTGAAGGTCTGAAATGCCAAAGGCTTTTTGACTTTGAGGAACACAGAGGTTGAATTTCCCCCCCATGCCAGATCTGACATTCTGGGAGCCAGGTGGCCCATCGGGTGGGTCGGGGTGGGGAGGTGGGACCTTCAGCCGGGCCCAGGCTGTTCTGCGTCAGCGTTGGCACCCCGCTCCCCACGTCTGTTTCATCTGTGATGTGCTTGGACTGCATCCACCTCCTTGGCAGAAGGTGTAAAGCATGTCATCTGCTCTGGGTACTGCTGCGAGGTACCAGCAGTATGTGGCTAAAAGTGTCTTTGGGCTTCCACTTCCAGAGTATAAATGACCTTGAAATCCTTCGCTTGTCCAGCTCGTCCTCCAAATACCTCTGTCTGCCAAGCGTGCTCACCGGGCCTCTCTAATCTTCCTGTCTGTGCTTCTTACAGTCACCGAAATGCTCGTTAACATCCTCAACATATGCTCCGATGATGAGTTGATTTCAGATGGCGATGAGACATTGGAAGGTAAAAAACGCTGTTACGACCGAGCTGGTAACGGTGTGGGGGGGTGTGTGAAGGTGGGGAAGGTGTATGATGCTAGCTCAAGGGTGATCAGCACTTGATTTATAGCTGGATGCCCAGCCAGGGTCTCCAGCTCCTTTTTGGCCAACGCTTGTGCAAGTCTGGGTAGGAAACATTTTTTTTTTTTTTTTTTTTTTTTTTCCCCTTTGCTATTCAGTCACAGAGAAATTAAATTATATTCACTGCGACAGACGCTTCTTGCCAGCTACTCTGGAGAATGATTTCCTGCTCCTTACAGAGACTGCTTCCCAAGTGGTTTTTTTTTTTTTCCCCCCAATTCAAAATTTTCTGCACCAAAACATCTACCCAATCTTCTCATCTGTTGCAGTGAACTCCTCTGTAAAGTGGCTTCTCATATCACCCCCCAAAAAAGCAGAATGCGGTTTTTGGCCCGGGTTTTAAGCTAAGAAGTGGGGCGTGCAGCGAGGAGTGGGGCCGCGAGCATGCACGGGGGGGCCCGGGGGAGCTGCCTGCAGAGATCGGTGTAGGGTGGAGGACAGTTGGTCCCGCAGAGAAGCAGAACACCGTTGTGGTACAACAAGGTGCCGCTGCTTCGGTCGACAGGTTGAGACTATAACCCGCTTCTCCCATTGCATTTCGTTTTTTGGTTTGGTTTGGTTTTTTTTCTTTCTCCCTCCCATGAAAATTAAATTTGTTTCTTCTATCTCTGTCTTCATCTACTTGTTTCTTGGTGTCTCCTCTCCCTGAAGATCACTACATTTCAAGCTATCAGAAAGGTACCCAGCTAGAATTTGCTACAAGCTTAATTTTCACTGCCTGTGCCACCAGATTCCTTGGAGTGGATTTGAATAGCTGACTAGTTGGGCAGTCTCTTCATCCCCTTTCAGTTTTAACATAAGCGCCGTGTGTTTTTTAACCCTTCTGCGTTCCTCCAGGAACTTGAGAAACGGGGTCACGTTTCTATCTGACTTCTGAATGCAGCCACTTAGTGCATGGCTGAGCCATCGGTGCATGTTAGACCTCCGGTTTGGCTTGTACTGTCCTAATGTGTAGTTGGGCCATGTGAGGAATCTCAGCTGAGAGGAGATGTATTTGTTACCTCTTTTACTTTGATTTTTTTGTTTGTTTTCAGTTACCCTCCATGCTTTTTCTCTCACGTTCGGTCTGTATAGCGGAAGGGGAGTTCACATATCTCACTTTGTGTTTGTGTGGGGTCAAAGCAGAGTTGCAAGGCTCCGGCCAGCCGTTCACTGTGCGTGTTGGATGCCAAAGCTGATGCTTGCGTGACACTCCTCCCCGCGGCGGAGCACAGCCCGGTGTTCTGCAGTGTTCATCAGCAGTCAGATTCGTCAGTGTTCTGCCTTGCAAAACTGTGTCTACATGGCTGAGTCATTTGTGTTACATCCTGTGTAGTGTGAGCAAACCTGGTGAGCTTCCAACAAGACCTGTCCGATCCGTTTTCCTTTGGTGGTTCTACTCTCTTTAGACCTTTTAAGTCCGTGTGTCATCTCGTTGGTGTTGCCCTTCTCACCGCCATCCTGACCGCCATCCTCTCAGCACTGTTCTCTCAAGAGTGTAGCTGTGAATTTGTAAACCATTGATTTCTTTTCCTGGAGTCAGGCAGGTGCTTCATATTGACATTACCTGTGCCTGGAAAGCAGGAAGCCTTAAACATGCTGGCGTTTGGTTTTTTTTTCTCTCCCTAAGGTGGGACAACAGTCCGTAAAGAGATCATCAGGAATAAGATTAGAGCCATTGGGAAGATGGCACGTGTCTTCTCGGTTCTTCGGTAAGGGAGAAGCTTGTGATTTGGGGTCTGGGTGATGGGGGACATTGGTTGGGCTGCTCCGAGCAGGCAGAGCCCTGCTGGGGGGGGTGGGAAAAAATCTGACGGGGCTGTTGGTTCGGAGTAGATAGCAAGGGCTTGGGCTGGTGGTTTCTGCATGCCTGGTGGCCTGACTCTCAGAAACCTCCATCTCAAGCACCGGCACCTTCGCCAGCAGAAATGCTGCTGTATTTTTAGGTATTTTTAGGTATTATTTTTAGGTATTTTTAGGTATTATTTTTAGGTATTTTTAGGTATTTTTAGGTATTTTTAGGTATTTTTAGGTATTTTTAGGTATTTTTAGGTATTTTTAGGTATTTTTAGGTATTTTTAGGTATTTTTAGGTATATTCAGCCCTTTCAGGATGCGTTTGCTGTGCCGTAGCTCTGACGCATCGCGGCTGAGCGAGCAGAGGTCCTGTATTTACGAGGCGGGGTTGTGCTCGGTGCCCAGCAGATCAGACGCGCGCTGCCCGTGGCCAGCGCAGGGCAGACTCCGGCTTCCGTCCCGCTCACGCCACTACTGGCCTTGCACGGATCTACCCGAGCGTTGCGTTAATCTCTCGGTAACCGGTTGCATTTCTTCTTATTTTGCAGAGAGGAGAGCGAGAGCGTGCTGACTCTCAAAGGCCTGACTCCCACAGGTACGCTGCCCCTGGGCGTGCTCTCAGGGGGGAGGCAGACCCTGCAGACGGGTGAGTATGGACGAGCCTCTTCTCTGCAACACCACACCCCCTCTGCAGTTTTATACCTGGCCCTCAGCTGCCCCAAAACCCACTCCCATCAGTTCCCGTAGGCGTACTTCAGGGTGCCAGGGGACCCGAGAGATGGTTCAGGCCCAGAGGGAGGAAGGATTCAGAAATAGGAAAAAGCAGAAATGTAGGTGGGGATGTGGAGAGCCTTCCAAGATATCCCCGTATACCCTCGAGGAGGGGAACGCGAGGAAAGGAAAAAAAAAAAAAGACAACAAACAGCACCCCGCCTAAAGCATGCGCATTGCTTTATTGTATGTTTCTGCAACCATTTTTATCATTTATTTCCCTTCTAATGCTGCATGAGAAGCATCCTCCACTTCACCTATCTGCTGCTGTTGCGTGATAGCGTGTATATGAATGTAATATTAAACACGCCTTCTTGCTCGTTCTCTGTTAAACGAAACCCCTCTGATTTTGACCCTGTGAAACTGTGAATCCCAAGCAGCTTGGATTTAGCTGAAGGAGGGAGATTCTTCCAGGCCTGTATGTTTCAGATTAAGGCTTTTCTCGGCCCCCTGGTTTTTTTCATCTGGTTTTGGAGGTTTCTTTTCTGTGCTTGCTGGCTCCATCCCTCAGCAGCCAACTGGTCTGTCTTATTTGTGTGCCGAGAGCAGGACTGAGCTCGGGATCTGCCTGCTCCCAACTCGCAGGACAGGGCGATTGGCTGGTGGTCAGGGAATGAGTTATCACAGTAGCATGTGTCCCCAGAGGGAATCCTGTAATCTAGTGTTTTAATCCTTTCCTGCCGCCAGCCTTTGAATACTGGCATCTAACCAGCCTGCTTTCCCCTTCCTATTAGCGCTGGGTAACTTCCTATGGGCTCAGAAGAGGGCTTGTTCTGGGATTGCCTTCCCTTGATTAAATAGTTCACGAGTGAGAAACGGGTAAATATTGCTGCCCGCTCCTGGGGGTGGGGAGGATGCGGTATCGCTCCCAAACTCATGGGTTCCTCTGCCTTGCAGAGGAGTATGAATTTTTTTTCTTTTTTTTTTTTTTTTTTTTTTTTATAGCAACCATGATGGTTTCTGTCGCCCCAGTTCTGCTGCAGGCATGGGAACAGAGCCTGAGTGGGAAGGCGGCTGTGACAGCTCGGCTCGAGCAGCCAGCTTGCTCGTGGTGCCGCAGCTTTGCCCCGATGGCTCTCCTGCACCTTCCCCTCTCGGGGGGCTTCCTCTGAGGGGCTGCCAGGCAGCTCCCCCCGTAAGGAACCTGAGATTTGTGCATCTCCCTGAGACACAAACAAGCTGGACCTTTGCTGCTGCCTTACCTGCCCCTGCCTGCTGCCTCCTCCTGTGGCTGCAGGCTTCCCAGCCCCTGCTGCTCCCGGCTCCCCATGCTCCCCTCAGCAGCACCCCGCTTTCCATGCCCTTCTCGCGCTCCTTTTCCCCTCGTGCCTCCTTCTCTCACCCCCTTCCCCTTTTGCACGTCCTTTTGCACGGCACCATCTGCTCGCAGCAGCCTCCTGGTGAATGTACAGGCGCTTCTTCAGCTGGGAGCCCGTCTGCTCGGCGGGGAAAGAAGGAGGCTGTGCCCCTCTTTTGGGGTGCTTGTGCACCCCAAAAAAGAAGAGGCAGGGCTGCAGGTAGCTGTGGTGGGGCCCCCTGCCCTCCCTGAGCCTCCTGCCAACCTTTTGCAGCACAGCTTAGCAAAATCAGCAGAGTAAAGTCACCAAATCTGGAGCAAAGATGGTCAGCTACAACTCCATGGCCTCTCAAGGACCGCATGGCCTTTGTATTGTGGCCAAAGCAAAAAACTGTGGCGTTTGGAGGCTAAAAGCGGGGGGGATCTGTTCTAGGGAAGGGCCTCTTCCCAGATGCTAAGGCAGGGACTACCAAAACTTGGACAGCTGCTGCAGCAGATTTAGGAAGGGGGACGTTGCTCAGCTCTATGGTGCCTTGTTGCTTGGTAACACTTCTAGGAGGTGGAGCTGAAGCCAAACTGGATTTGAAGCATCAGTGTGGTTTTTCTGTTAGAATTCAAGGCATGGGGAGCGGAGCAGCCTGGCATCTGCTGCTGCCTGCCCTCCCCCGGGGAACAAACCGCCCCTCTCTTCCCCACTGCTCCAAAAAGTTATCACATCCCTTGGGGTCACTTCCCTTGGGGGGGCTCTGGTGGCTGGGGTTTTGCTCTGGGATGAATTCCAGATAATTTACCTTCTGAAGGTGGCCAGGGCGCCCCAGAGCCACCAAACTGGGAGCGGGGGGGGCTGTAAATGCAGGTGGAGACCCATGGCTTAGGCCGAGACCATCGCTGTCCTTGCCATGGGGCGCCTGCGTGCCCGAGCCCTCCAGTGCATGCAGCAGCAGCCGTCTCTCTGCTTCTCTGTTTCTTTCCATCGGATTTATCTGTGTGACGAGTCCAGCGAACGTGAGGAAAGGAGACTGCCCCGGGTCAGTGCTCAGCAGACGCTAAACCCGAGGGCGTCCCCTTTCAGCCTTCCTCTCGAGCTCCTGTCACCTTTTGGTTTGGTTTTGGTTTATTTTTTTTTTTCCCCCCCTCTTGCCAGTTGGTTTTGATCATGGTTGTCTCCACCGGGGCTGGGAGGCTGTGGGCTCTGCGTTCGCAGCAATGATATTAGATCACTCACTGTCACTCTTTTTTTTTTTTTTT